AGATCACAGTCCTGTATCGGACAAACATATACCTAACGAAGATCATAGTCCTGTATCAAACATATACCTAATGAAGATCACAGTCCTGTATCGGACAAACATATACCTAACGAAGATCATAGTCCTGTATCAAACATATACCTAATGAAGATCACAGTCCTGTATCGGACAAACATATACCTAACGAAGATCATAGTCCAGTATCAAACATATACCTAACGAAGATCATAGTCCAGTATCAGACAAATTCATTTTATCACATGAATCAGTTTTTTTTGTTATGAGCAGAGGCTGCAGAGAGTATAGACGGATGAATACGCACAGCTCCACCCAAATCCATTTCTGCAGACAGCTCAGTAGAGCAATGAGCATCATGATGTCACGTAAACCAGATGCCCGAAATGAGAAAACGTCGAGACAGACTCAGGCCTACCACGTGACACGCAAAGAAAAGAGGCAACAAGTTCCAAAAATGCGTGAAGCAGTGCTTTGCATCACTCAAATGATGCAATTGTACACAGCTCAGACATGCTGCTGAGCAGGCCGATTCTCACTGCTCTGCGTGACTGCAGGCAAAATTTCGATGGTGTATGTTAACAGATAACAATGAATCACACAAAATGATCCTCTTCTTGCTCCAGCAAGAACATTAATTAGAAAATGTGATCATGCTACAGATCTCAAGTCATGTAATTGCCTAGATGTGTAGGAGGAACTAACCCTTACATGCTTTTCAAGGGCTTTGCTTAGCTACTTAACTTCCTTAACATCTCCAGTTTCTAGGGGTGGGTTTTCTTGTATTTCTCCATTGTATTTAGGATCTGCAGTTACGTAAGAACCTGCTAGGCCATGCAACAAATGCTCCTACCAGCATATGCATTCAAATCTAGACTACATACTACGTCAGTTGAACCTAAATTAACACTCTTGGAGCTTCTCCCATGGCTTTGAAATAGCTTGCCGTATTATTCTCTAAGTTGTGGTTGGAGATAGCTACTATTAAACTAGTGCATAAATTCTGCCTCCCCCACTCATGTATGCAGTTCATCCCTATCTGGAAATTAAGGGAAAATACCGGCTGTCCCCAGACTGTGCATAGTTATTATGATTCATTTTGTGTATTTTCTGTTAAACCTGATGGGTGGTGATTGACTGTTTGAAGCCGAGATAGTCGATGTGGGGTTAACACTGACTGACAGTCATGACTGCCAGACGTCACCTGAAACGACCTAGGGGGACGTTGAGCATCACTTCTTTTTTATTGTTTAATGTCCGAGGTGGTTAGCAGCTTCCTTTCCAGTGGATCTTTGCTGTTTTGTTTCCTCTTATTCGATGTGTCTTCTATGAAATTAGTACAGTTTTGTAAGGTTCAGTTTCAAAAATTGCTCATTATAAAACATAGTCTAACTGGCTTTACCTTCTGCTTTCCAGTGCTTATGTCGTATCCTGTTGTTACTACATGCTAATTGCTCTGAGGCAGGAATGTTAGAGAGAGCAGAAAAATATATTGAACTAAAAGTAAAAACCATCATAGTGGCATTTTTGCACAATTATATAGCACCTTTACTGAAAGCAGGCTTTTATGTCTCACTAACTGAAAGAAATATTAAAATTTCCCTGAGTTTAGATCAAAGGTAGACAAATTTCTGGCTCTAACCATCAAATTGCTGGTTCCAGTTCTTCACTTAAGAGGGGGAATTAAACTATATTAATTCAACAACTACCTGTCTGACTAAGTTGTTCGGAGGTGAACAGTTGCTTTATATAGTAGTAGCATAAAGATTATTAAAAATAAATAGGAAATGAGTTGAAGCATAATTATGGTGAAAAGCAGGAAGGTTCTCCTCAGCTTCTCCTTCAAGTGTCTCGGTCTGACTCCCAAGTAACAAGGGCCTGTTAATGGAGATACATTTGTTTCGAAGCACCAACAACGAAATCACTATTTATTCATTACATTACATATTCATTTCAAGTAGAACAAGACTATTACATACATAAAAATATTAAGATGTATGTTCCCAACCTTTGCTGAAGTTGCCTGGAATACACCTTTATCCAAGATCAATGACAGTGTACCCTTTAACTGAGAAAGTTGGCTGAGTTATATATCTTACAAACATGATTAAAATTCAGTCATATATTCAATGTTATTCACTAGTCAGTGAATCAAATTATACAGTGCCTTATAAACAATTGAACCCCCTTAAAATAAGATTTACAAGTGTACTGAATTACAAACGATATATACACATATTGCTCCTGCTAGTGTTTATTTGTTTTGCAAACCCATAGTCTTTCACCACAAAATCAATTTTGTCAGCAAATACTGAAAGTAAGAATACGTGTATGTATCACTTGCAATTCAGGCAATCTGATCATTCTGCAAGGCATTGTATATCCAATTAATGGGATTTCTAGAGGCAGTCCATCATCACGCACTTTATTTTAAGCCTGTCCAGTTGTTCACTGCCATGGCTCTTCCACATTCTGGAAGGGGATAGAGAGAATAAACACGGCTGACTCCCTACTGTGAGGATGTCCCTCTCATTGACCATAAAAATTGCAGAACTTCTTGGGATCCTCTGGGAAAAGAGACCCTGAACACAGCACTCACCCTAAGTCCTGCACTGACCCCAAGGCTGACACCTTCCTGGAGAAATAACTCATTCCTACTTCCTGTTGAATATGCAAACTGTGGGTGAACTGTGGGTTCGAATATCACCAGAAGATGTGCAGTGCGTTCCAAAATAACAGCAGGCTGGGACGGAGGAACTGGGGTAATGACTAGCTGTCTGTAAAGAGTGATGCTCAGATTAATTGATGGTTCTAAACTCCTCTAATCAGCATGTGATTGTCTGAGGGTGTGTGAATATCCTGTAATGAACTCCTGCCCCACCCAAGACGTATCCTGCCTTATGCCCTGGAATCACAACAGGAATCCTAACTGGGTAAACAGCAGCGCGAAAGGAGGGATGGAAAGGAGGGGGTGAGCTTACAACATCAGGAGAAAACCCACAATAAACCAATAGTTAAACACTGTCAACAATGGCTGCAGCTCCACACATAAGAGCTGTGTGAAGGAACGCCTCTGCTAAAGTGCCATTGGCTCAAGGAGAACTACACAGGAGCTTGTCCTGCTCCTCCCAGGTCCACTGAGACCCTCCTAACTGGTTCAATACAAGAGCGACCTTCTAATTTTAGTGTGAGGCTTCGTGTGCTGTTCTGTTACTTTGGAGTTGAATTCGCTTTTATAGATTAAAAATCAAACAACAGAAAAAGGCAGCAACAAAAATTACATGCTACAATCAAAAGCATATACCTGTCTTTTCATAATGCATTACAGTTGTTTTCTGCTTTCCTTGCATATTTTGCTGGTTTGTATGAGAAAAGGACACAAAAAAGCCACATGTACCAAACATATGTTGAAATGTCAGCAAAGATGTGATGATTCTTTTGAAGGACACAGAGGATGGAGCAGGACAGAGGGGAGGGAACATCGGGGAGGGCGAGATGGAGGATTTCTTCTCTTCGTGTAAAAGGTGAGTAACACAGGTGCCCTTCTCCTTATTCTGAAGTTGGCTGTGCAACCTTTGAAGGTATTTTAACCCAAAGGCATGTTTTGGCTTTTACCAAAGCAAACTATATTTTTCTACGTATTGCTGTTCCCAAACATTTGTTCCCAGTACCCTGGGAAGAGGACCCCCTTTGTGATGTGCAGTGGTACCTTCCCTTTCTTCCCAGGCTCCCAACCAAAGGAGGAGGACAAGGAGTTTTCATTCTCATGGAGGGGGGCAAAAAAGTTCTCCTCCTTCCGCCACTGGCGTAACCGTGAGTCCCGGCATCATTAATGCTCACGCACATGACAGAATAGTCATACTTTAGTCATATGAAACTTCATCCAGCCCTGTGGGGAAATTGTCTTTTTGCCTGAACAATTTTGCTCTCCATAAGACACAAAGACACAAGACTGACAGGTGAGAGCGAGCTTGGGGGCGACAGTGCAGGGTCAGCCCAAAATATGGGACGGTTAAACGTTAAACCTGGCAGGCTGATCCACTGGTAACACACCCTTCCCTGCTGGTTAGTGGATTATTGAAATTGCATCATTTTAACTTCTTTTTCATTTCTCTGTCTGCTCAAAAAATTGCTGAACTGGCCCACTTGGGGCACCTCTTAGCCACATTAGCCTAGGGCTTCCAGAGAAGTTAATCCATCCCACGCACACTCCATACAATTAGTATAATGACATATTTGGACTGTTGGTGGAAACACAGAGAACAGAAGGAGAATAGATTAACTGCACATCTACCCACCCCACCGTTTACACTCATTTCTAATATCCCATCTCACCATTCAGCTTCATATGCTGAATAGTTAATAACCGTGTAATATTTATACATAAGGAACTGGGCATGCGTGGAGGTGTCCTTACCTGACAAAGGTACGGCACCACACGTCTGTCACATCTCTATTGTAGTTCATTTCAATAATAGGAGAGTTAATACCTTTTCGGGAAACCCAGGCTTCCTCCCTCGGTCGAGCCGAGAAACAGGATACATTCTTGCGATATTGCTGACAGTCTTAACACCCCACACGTTGTAAAAAAAAAACGCAGCGGCGCTGAAAATGAAAGCTGCACTGTGCAGGAAGTAGAGGAAAAGGCAGGCGGACGAGTATCACACGCGGCTCCGCGGGCTTCGGGATCGGACTGTAAGAAGCAGCATCTCCCTGGGACCAGTGCCCTACGTGGGCTGTTCTTTTTGGAAACTGCGACCAACACCCATTAATTCTTAGTTTTGAACCATATGATCGCACGATCCTGGGTGGCATTACATCTGGGCGATAAGAATCTTGTCCCAGGAAGCGGATCGGCGGCGGGGGCTCGCCTCGCGCTTGTAGGGCTCCTAGGACCCTGAATATAACGCGCTGAAAATACGAGTGAGTTTGCTCTTTCCCTTCTTCTGCTCTTTTAATCGCCAAATTTGTTCTTATTGTTTTGGTCGTAAATATGTGTCTATACCCGCATGTGGAATTTAGTGGATGTAGCCTACGTAAACTTTTCTCTCAAGCGCTGTTATAAGATATGGGTTTCATTAGCTGGATTAACCTTAGTTTTGTGGGATATCATAGCGCGATGACAACTACATAAAATGAGAAAGTGTTTTGGAGTGAAAGATGATTTAAACGACTGAAAGAGACATTTTGTTTATCTCTGAAACCATATACGTCTATTTCAAGCACTAGGTAGGCATTACTGTGGAGAAATGGTTAAGTTGTTAAAGCTTTGTAGAAGGTAAAACATTGTTTTCCTCAGAAGTTATCGGTATTTAGACAACATTGTGCTCGCCATTTTTCACATTAAAAATACACCATTGATACTTTGATAGAAAACTGTTTATATATTTACGTACATGTAGCCTATATATGAAATAATTAAGATATGTGTTAAGAAATGATGACATGCAGCCTCCTTGCGATCGCTTCACCCCCCAGGCATAAAGCAGAACATACGAGACAACAACACATACGGCATGTCTGCTTAAATCCCTAATTAATTTGGTTAATTTTATTTCTTTATTTATCTATTTATTATTTTTTGTACTTTAGGACAGATTACTTTTCCTGCTACGACCTGCTCTTGGTGTTTGGAAGTGCTGTCATTTCATGGTGTGACAGTCCTTATGGGGAATCAATTCTAAGTGGGATTGTCCATCCATCCATCCATCTTCCGGCTGCTTACACAGGTCATCGTTGTGTATGGCGGGGGGCACAAGTCAGGGGTACATCACCAAGATTTTGGGAAGGCAAAAATAGGTTCTGATCACAACCTTTGCTCCCTGGATACCGTCCTGCAAGGGCGAAACACAGCTGACACTGAATGTGAGAAAAAGTATGTCAGAGTATTTTGACTGTCTAGATTTATGTAAGAATGTAAATGACAGTGGCGCTAAGACATTTTGTCACAAGATAAAACAGCCTGAGAGACACAATTTGATCAAATTGATAAAAGATGCTGTTCCAGTGTTTTTCCTTTGTATGGCAGTACGAGCTGGATCCCCCCCCCCCCACAAATATTATATGATTAAATAGCTTGTTCATCTTAATCTTTAAAGAACAAATCTGTGACCACAGGTTTATGCGTGATGCAGAATAACAACCAGAGCATAGCTGCAAGTTTACTGACTATTCTTAAGGATTGTGGTTTGTTTAAAGTGATTAATAGTGGCCGAGCTTATCTTCAAATAGCAGGTGTTTGTTTTCTCATTTATACTGACTACAGATATGCTGTAAATGCCTCTGTTATATTCTGCTGCTTAGTGCAAATTTCCTTAAACAAATGGGTTTAGAATCACTGCAATTTATGTGATCATATTCTCTGCATTTTATACTTAATTTTGTTGTATTTAGTTGGTATTCATATTTGTATTTAATCATTACATTCAGCTGAGTAAAGAAAATTCCATGTAAGATAGTATGGAGTAAATATTTCAAATAATGACATTTATGTTTTATGGTGAAAATTTTGTTGTCAAATATGTACTATCAGGTGACAGTTTGCGTTTTAAACTAGCAATAGCAATAATAACAACAACACTTGATTGATCCCCTTGGGGAATCACCTACTCCATCCTGCTCTCCACGACACTCTTATGGGTGAGAGCGAGCTTGGCAGTGAAGGGCAGCCACCCGCAGCGGCGACCATGGACCCAGGCGTTAAGGGCCTGACTCAAGGGCCCACACACGTGGCTATTCTGCTTTGGCCAGGTTCTAACCGTCCAATCACAGGCACTGAGGCTTAGCCCACTGGGCCACACCACCCCAATACACGTAACATATGAGCTGTTCGCGCTAATTGTATGTTACTTGTTATCGTGGCTTATCTCTTAGACCTCTGCTAGTGTTCCTGAGCAATATGAATCGCATTTCTTTCTGCTTCAGAGAAGGAACTTCAGTGTTCAGTGTTTTTCTTTGGATGCTTTACCCCTCCTCCATGCCCCTCCCCTAAAAATAATCTGGATCTGTCACTAGTGTCAAAATTTGATCAAAATTATCTACTAAGTGAAAAGTAATGAATTCCCCACGCCTCTCAGTGCCTGCAGCAGGCCTGTTGTCTTCGTAGTTGCTTGAGAAGTTCTGATTCTGGGTGTTGCCTGACAATTGATTGCTTGCTAATTCTTGGCCTGTTTTTGTGTGGTACCTATAATCATAATAATAATTCACCAAAACTAGATTTGGGCCCAGTATCTCGGACAGAGTTATCCTACGGCTGCTGATTTATGGAGAAAAAAATCATAATCATGATTTTTTTGGTTGATATTGAGATCAACATTACTTAACATGATTACTCATTGACTTTGGAAATATGTATTTATTGAACTTTTAAAAAAAAAATTGTGTTTTTTACAGTGGATTTTCTTTGACTTTAAATATAATTCTGCTGAGAAACAAGTAAGGCATGACTGGATTTGTAACACAAGACAAAACGGGAGCATCACTATGAAATAAAATGCAGCATAGTAACATATTTACCTTATTTTGCTTTGACAATCGCTGGAAGCCAAAATCGTTAATTAAAATTTGACTAATTACCCAGCCCTGAGTTATCCATTCATCTTTGTCTGCTTGTCCTATGCAGTGTCGCAGGGATCCGGACTAATCTCAGAATAACCCAGGATGGGGCACCATCACACGGCTAGGCAAACACACTATTCACTCAAACCTAGGAGCAATTTATAAATTCCAAATAACCTTAGCATGTGTTTGGATCATGCAAACTCCGCACATACAGAGCCAGGGCAGAGATGCAAACCCTGACCTCACCCACCGGCCCCTGGAGCAGTTATATGGGTTACTTATCTGTTTATATGTTAGGGTCGTTAACAATGTCATGGGTGTTGAATTACGGTGGTGCTGTGTAGAAACGGTGACGTTTCAGCTCACTCACAGGAAAGTTCTCCCTGCTGCTGTGCAGTCTGTCTGCCACCCTGGGTTAGTTTGTATAGTTGTTTGTATAAAGGATCGGTACACTGGAACTGCAGATATCATATACCCACCGCCAAGGTGTGAACGTTTACAGCCCTAAATGGAATATACTCCGAAAATATTTCTTCTTGTTTACTGTTCCCATGACGCTGATTCTTTGCAAACTGCAGTAATAAAAAAACGATCAAAGTGAGCGGTGTGTGTGTGTGGCTCCACAGCCCGAGAGCTGCTTGTGCATGCAGTACTGATACTGATTACAGCTGCTTACTCTATGAGCACAGGTCTGTGTGCCTTGGAGGGGATTTACTCCAGCTGACTGGAAATGTTAGGAGTTGAAATGCTTGTAGTTGAAATGCTTACAGTTGAAATGCTTGCAGTTGAAATGCTTATAGTTGAAATGCTTGTAGTTGAAATGCTTGCAGTTGAAATGCTTATAGTTGAAATGCTTGTAGTTGAAATGCTTGCAGTTGAAATTCTTATAGTTGAAATGCTTGTAGTTGAAATGCTTGTAGTTGAAATGCTTGTAGTTGAAATGCTTGTAGATGTGCAGAAGCCCCGCTTTTGTGTGCTTTGTCATCCTGTACTGGTGTCTGTTCAGCGGCAGAGTGAGCTGTGTACAGCAGCTGTGGAAAAACAAGCTTAGAATGACAGAGCAGCCCACCCAGGAACACCACCCTGGGGATCAATAAGGTTTAACTCATGTGAGTTGGCGAGAGAGAAGCTACCATAGAAATCGAAAAGAAGAAAGCTGAATCTGAAAAGACGAACGAATGAACATTGTTACATGAAGCAGCATGTGAAGCTGAGTCTTTCTAAAGCACAAAGGGAGTTCTGATCACTTCATCTGGTTATCCAGCTGGAAACTCTTCAAGTTTGATGTCAATGAGGGTAAAATACCAACAGTTTGTTGAGCATGCTAAACATGTTTTTGCTGCCTACACTGGGAGAAGTGAATTAAACATGTTGACACTTGAAAAATAGGGGACTAGACATTCTGCTGCAAGACTATGTAGCGCTATTACAATGATCAGGTGAATCATTCTAATAAAATGTATGTGATCTGTGATTCTTAATCCAGAGTACTTAGTGCACTGCTACAGTTGTCTTTGCTAGTTGTGCACTGTTTGAAGCAAATGGACTCCAATGAAAAAAAAAATGTGTGCAGTAATGTGCAGAAAGGAAGTAACTCATCAGCGCGTTCAGTAAGCGCCTTGGCACCTGCCTAGAACAGGAAGCTTCAGCAGGCATAGAACCACATCTATGAGAGAGGTGCCCATCTTATTTTTCTTCCATTACTACTGGCAGAAAATACCAGCAGTGCCATGTTTGCTTTCAGGCTTATCAGTAGACTTGTTTGGAATCTTTTTTTCCTGATGCCCTCAATTTCCTCACTGGTGCTTCTGAAAATGTACAGTCATGTAACTGGTTGGAATTTGCAAGAATGTTAGCCTTTATGAAATAAATGTCTGATAGACTCATAAATACTGTTGGATGTCATCTGTGCCAAGGCACACAAATTGCCCAGCTTTAAAAATGGAGAGCAGACTGTTGATTGTAACTAGGGAAGGTTTTGAGCACATCGAAGGAACACGGCGTAAGAGGCCTGAACCATAGAGGACAGAATGAAATGCAAAGGCTGTAGTGCAGTTTGCTGTCAGGCCAGTGAATGTGAACACCTGGAACTTTTTTGATTGTAAGTGTTTTTTGAGACACGCTTTCTTTGGAGAAGTAATGGCTGTTCTGCTAACATTCCACCTGGAGTCTTCCCACCAAAGACAGAGAGACATGACTCAAAAAATGAGGGGGTAAAATGGACTCAATTAAGGGCTGCAAAGCAAATGTGTGGAATTATTTCAAGGATGTTTTTTTATTGAAAACTATGGAGACTTGGGATGTACTAGGACACAGTTGTGGCTGCGGTTACTGTTGCGTCAATGAGCTTTCACTTCTGCTCATCTGCCCATTAGCATTAGAGACCTGCACTATGGAACACGGGAAATGGCCATATACTATAACATACGAAAACATGCAAAAATAACACATGACCGCTGATGCAGCAAGACTGTATGTCATTGGTGATTTTTGTTCTGTGTTATTGTGCTATTTCTCATTCCTATAGTCTGTGTAAGACCGTACTCACTAGTTGTACTGAAAAGGAAACACCCCAGAGCATGTCTGGGCCAACTGTAAACCAGTCATGCGACTTATGCAATGAGACCCAAAGCTGTGGAACCAGCTGCCTTAGCCATGCCGTATTGGTAAACCGCTCCCTCGCCGTCTCATTTTACATGAATAGAAAGGAGATGAAATTCGAGTTTCATACACATAGACTCATTAAGCTTGATGCTGGGAGCAGTTGTTTGGAGCTGAGTTATAGGATTTCTCTTGCAGAATATTCAACCGATTTATAGTAGTCTCCTGTTGCAAACATTTGGAGATGTCCAGTGTTTTCCTGGCAGCTTTTAGATGTCAAACCATAAGGTTCTGAGGGTTACTTAGCTAGAAATTACTGACCTGTTCCCCTACATAGATTTTACGGACCGGGGGGATCCATAACCCCCTAAATCTACCATGGTAGTGCAGTTCACAAACCCAATTTACTGCAGGAAATGAATAAACCAGCAGGTTGTCTACATGCAAATGAACAGACAGCAGGTTGAATTTTCTGTGTTAAACATGAAATGTTGTCCTATGTACATGGATGATGAATCCCAAGACCATTGCTGCAAATCATCAATGTTTAGAGATCTTCAAATCCAATATACAAGGCAATGTCAGGTTCTTATTAACCTTGCATTGGCCATGGCAAAGTATGTGAAGTAACATTTACTGGGTAGTAATATAATTTCATATCTTTAAGCGGAAGCAAAGAAATAAAATAAATTAATTTCTTCATTTTTCTTCAGTTTAAAATATAACTGGAAATGCACTTGAATTAATGAGACAGGATATCTGGGTCACATACTTTAACAAAAAATGTCAATAGTCATCATATCGTTTCCAAGTGTAGAGTAATTATCACTGTCCTGTGTGTACACCGATGTGTAAATTTTGACCAAGACTGATAAGCAATATATTTTTGTGTAATATTGGCGATTGCAATGACCGGCTAAGATGGGAGCCCCTGTCAAGTGTGGGCGGCAGGAAGAGAGCTGGTGGCCAAACCTACCGAACTTGCTGGTGTGGATTAGTAGAAGGACATTACATCATTTTTATTTTCTGGAAAATGGAAGCTCGATCGGTGGGCCAGATTTAGTAATAAATGAAAAGCTCATGGTGAGCTGTGTAAAAGCACTTTGCAGGCTGGAACTTTGACACCTCTTCTGTGTGGTGAATGAGCCGTGGAAGTCACTTATTCTCCAATAGAGAAAACAGCTGATACCCAATACAGTCATCAAATTTATTTTAGTAATTGTGTCTTTAGCTCTGGTTCTGCTAACATTAAATAATTATGAAGTTTAAATATTGGCTGGCAATATCAGCCAAGACCAGGCGTGCTGTAAGGGGGTGGGGGGGAGTTAGGACAATGCCAGGCTTCAGAGTGATTGGTTTGGTATGGGGGGCCCAATATGATATGCTTTCATGGGGCCTAAAATCATTAGCAAGGCCCCAAAAATTTGGTTTTTAAGGAATATCAGTTGAAACCAGTACTTTACTTAACATATTCTGCAATTCCAGTAAAATGTAAGCTGTGTTTGGGATGTAAATAGTATTTTCTGTGTTTTGCCCATAATTGCTGTATTCTTATCTCTGCTCCTACGCAGGTGAGACATACCCAGGTGACAGTCCTGGAGAAGGTTCCAGGGAGGATCCTGCCAAGGTCAATGGGCAGAGGACAGAGCCACCTAACCTAAACCACGGTAGGCAGAGGGGACTTCTGCAAGCTCCTGATTGGATGCTAATGCTGGCTGTTGTATTAGGAATAAGAAAGACACCAATTTCAGATTCTCCACCCTCAGCATTTTCCCTGAACGATCTCATGGCGCACACTGAGTCTCACATGATGTATTGTGTCACATTTTTTATTCTTATAATCTCATTAAATACTAAATAGAACCAATTTTTAAAAATTGCTGCACAAGAGATATCAGTAAAATTCCATTGTACTGGAGTATAATGACAATTAAGCTCTTATCTTAAATTATATTAACTTTTGTTGTCACATCTTATCCATCTCTATTATGTAATGTGAATTCCACAGCTAAGGAAAATTAAACTTAATTGACTGAGTGTAAACCAGGTTTATTTTTGACATTATTAAGATTTGTGCATCTGGCTTTTCTGTCCTTATTAAAATTGCAAATCAGAATCAATATGCAGAGAGGGAATTAAAATGGTTTGTGTTTAATGGTGCGTTCACACCACGAGCGGCGAGAGCGTCAAAGCGACCAGAAGTCATTCATTTTCTACAGGATGGCGCGTCACCAGGCGACGCGTCGTGTCCCAAATTGGGTGGCAAAAGCATCAAAATGAAGTTGAAGCCTGGTCAACTTTATGATAATGAGCTATGATGCTGTTCGGCAGCAACCAATCGGAAAGTCGCGATGCTCCACTAAAAAGAGTTCCACAGAACACAAGCGTGTAAACTTTTGTTCCAACCAAACTCTCCCGAGCACCGTCAGGGTATAAACTTTGAAACAGATCACTTCTCCCCACAGCATTTTTACGCTCTAGACACGGAAAAAATTCCCGTGTTCGGGTGGCATATAACTGAGCGTTTAAAAAACCCATGTTGACATGCATTTTAATACCATGCCAACACAGTATAAATGTACATGTTGAAAAAAGTTTATTTCAGTACTGAGATATAACTAGGCTAATACCTTTCTATTCGAGGGCAAAGGTTTCAGTCTGTAATGCATTATATTGGTTACCATATGATAATATCTAGCCACGGAAATTAAAATTTTGTGAAAATTTCAACAAAGAGGTTCATTGTTTTGTCTGATACACTGAATTGATGTAGTCAGTTCCAGACCCGAACAGCCCAATATAAAACTATAAAAACAATTACACTGTTATCATAGTTTCCATTAATATATCCATTATCTAGGCTATTAAACGCACATTCTTACCTACATGCTTTAATTTCACATTCATGTATTTTTTGCTGGCATGTTTCACCGATATCATTAAAGCGTGTTTGATACAGGGGCAAAAATTGAAAAATGAGGCATAGACCAAGATGTTGGAAATTATTGGTGAACCAGATGAGTTTGTGAAGTGCATAATATTTTTTATGGAAAAAAGAAGGAAATCACAGACTATTTTGGTGCCATACAATGCAAAATAATGCGAATCGTCGGTAACTTTAACGTAACTCATTTATAATAGTAGTGTTTGTCTTAACATAAACTTGTAGTTATCTAATTTAATTATTTGCCTTGCGGGCCAGTTTAATAAGTTTGTGAGACCTAGCATTGTGAACAACCTCGTCCATGTGTACTCCATCCAGAGAGCGTTATAGGCGGGGGGGGGGGTGGCAGAACGAACGGTGACGCTCTCGCCACCCGTGGTGTGAACGTACGGTAAGAGGTTGTCTAAAAATGAGAAATGATAGTGGTGATGATGTATGACCAGAGCCAGCATTACTTTCTGCGGGGGGGGGGGCTGCCACCAAGAGAAGTGGAAGCACGGCACTGTGAGGGGGGGTTTCTGTAGAAGTGTGCATACTAACCCCACCGCCCCCCCAGGTGCCATCATGTCTAGTGAGGATATGGTTGGCGAGTCCCAGTTTAAGAGGCTGACCACTATGCTGTCCTCCTTCCGCGAGAAGCTCCAGAGATCTGGTAAGCCGGACCCATTTGCAGGACCATCTGTGCTGTTGCACTCAGCTTCACTCACTACCTTAAGTTCAGTGTATCGCGCTAGTCAATCAGCTTACTTGCTTCTTACTGTGGCCTTCTGGGAAAAGTAATACAAGATGCATGGCAATATTTTTCAGCTTCCATTCGGTTGCAAATTGTTTAATATGAGGACATTTGAGAACACTTGGTAGGCCGATCCACACAATGCTTCAGTAAACAAGGGAATGGCCCAAAACCAGTGAATCTAGAAGGTGCTCATAAATACTGCAGGCAGTTTGTCAGTACTGCCCTGTATGCAGTAGTATGATACCCTCTTGAGCCGCAGTTTTTGGTGTGGGTCATACACCAGTAAAATGACATAATATAAGGTCGTGCAGTGATTTTTTTTTTTTTGGGGCCGCAAAGAAGGGGTTTAGAGCTAGTCGTTTCCAAGAGACGGGGTGTGAGTTTTTTTTTTTTGGGGGGGGGAGGGTGGACAATGGGAGCAGAGGGGAAGATTACATGATGCATTGGACACAATCCTCCAACTGGGTGAAACAGCAATGCTGTTCAGCCAAATGGCTGTTTCAGTATTAGTTTAAATATTAGAACTCCTGGCCGTAAGTGGAAATTGGCAGGAGAACATTTTAAAATGAATTTGAGGAAGCACTTCTTGAGTTGGAGTATGGAATAGTCTTCCTGCTAGTGTAGCGCAAGCTAAAACCCTGGGTTCCTTTAAATCAGAGCTAGAAAAGATTTTAAAAACTCAGCTATTAGTTGAGTTGTCCCCAAACGAGCTTGATGGGCCGAATGGCCTCCTCTCGTTTGTAAATTTCTTATGTTCTTAAGATATTTACAGTGTTTGGAAAGTTAGAGAGGGTCAGCCTATCGTGTGGTGCAGTGTAATCTCGCTGTGGTCAATATTTCTTTTTCTTTTTTCAGTCTCCCTGCATAATGTGGGAACAGGTGATTCAATGATTACCCCACAACAACCACTTTAGGAGAAAAGACCACAACTAACACAACTGCTCGGTTATTAATTTCATCATCGGCGTTGTTTTCTAACAGAATCCTGTAGCAGGAATGACCTGCCTGTCAGCTTGTCCCTGTGGAGCAGTTACTGAGGCTAGTCTTTCTCACTGGCGTTAATAAGGGACATGCTGTCGATATAGCAGGGATTGGCAAAATGTTTAGGTCCCCAGGAGATGTCAGTCCATTGGTGGGCACACAGACACACACACGCACATGGACACACACACACTAATGCAATCAAAACTCTATTGGAAATTTAGAGATGTCAGGTAACCTAATGACATGAATTGGACTGCAGGAGGAAACCACAGTACAGTGGTACCTCAGAACTCGAACTTAATCCGTTCAGAACTCGGGTTCGAGTCCTAAAAAGTTTGAGTTCTGATTGAATTTTCCCCATAAGAAATAATGGAAAACCAATTAATTGGTTCCCGGCCCCAAAAAATTACACCTAAATATGTTTTTAGCATTTAAACACAAAATGAACAGGATAAAACAAGAAGAGCATTTTTTTCTTAATGGCTTCCAAAACGACAAAGAATGTACCCCAACACTACCCCTGTCCTGCCCCGATCATCCGCTCCTTCCGTGTGCCATGCCCCCTCGTTAACCCCGTGTGAAATCCCAGAGTGATCAGCTGTTTCTTGTTGCTGTCATTAGTCCTCTGTATTTAGTCCACATTTCAGTTTCTTTCCCCAGTCCGGTCATTGTAATGTCATTGTGTTGTTCTGCCTGTTCTCAATTAAACCCCGTGTTTCCCAATCGCTTGAGTCCTGCCCCTGCTTCCCCAGTCCCGGCTCAGAAGATCGTGATAACCCCAAGCCATACCCCAACACTGCGGCAACACTAGACTATACCATTCGGTCCATTGTTTATTTTTATTATTACTCTGTATTCGTTAATTTGTTTGTAAATCGCAACATTTTAGGTTGTAACATTTGTACAACTATTGCGTAACTTTTTGGTGAGCAATGGCTACCAAAATGATATAAAGTACAGTGTATTACCTGATATTTTCAATAAAAAAGCACTATCACCAACAAACGATGCTATCACAGCGAATGCGAGGCTGAGACTGAAGCGTTACCCTTTGTTTCAGCTGAGAGACGTGCAGCGTGACTCATTTCCCTGTGCGTACAAGTTATCTTAGGTCTGCGTTTACGATTCGACTTCTGAGATTCAGATCGAGTTCTAAGTCATTTTTTTTAACTGGTTGGTTCGACTTTTAAGAAATTTGAGTTCTAATGAGTTCGAGAACTGAGGTACCACTGTACTTGGGTGGGTCCCACACAATATGGAGAGAACATGCAAACTCCACCCATGTGCTGAGAATGGGCAGGATCCAAATGTCCAGAACTGAGGGTGTGAACCAATAGTGCTCCCCACCTGGCTGGCAGATTCTGGCTAAGACTCCATTAGTATCTGTACTGTATAATGTGCTGAATTTGTTATGTGCTTTTTGTCTACAGCAAGCACTAATGAGTCAGACCAGGCACCAGTGACAGATCCTAGCATAGTGGAGGTCCCTGCCAAGGAACGCTACACTGGACAGTTCTTCTTTGAGTACCTAGTGGTCGTCAAAATCAATAAGAATAAAACAGGAGGATATGAGCCACAAATCATCTACCAGTTTCCCAAGGTCAGTCCCAATTCCTTCATCCATCCATTTTTATATCCATCTTTTGTAACTGCTTCTCCAGGTCATGATCATGGGGGCCTGTATCACGAAGCAGGATTTCCTGCTTAGCCAGATAACTTGTCAGGTTTAAGGTAATCTGGGCTAAATGTACATGAGTGAAGATAAAGTCCATTTAAACCGGGATACCTTAAATCCATTCAAGATTTAAGATAATTTATTTGTCACATACGTGGTATGCAGTAAAATGTATTACCTAAGTCGCTCCTGGATTGTGAAATAAAAAGAAGTAGAGAAAGAAGAACCAGCAATAAAAATTACAATTAAAAACAACCATTAACCCTCTCAAGGCAGGTGTTGCTGATTTGCAACAGTTAAAAACTAACTACCTTATTACCCCAGATACATATTTTATGCGTTTTTTTTACTCAAAAGTACCACTGCAGGTCTTGGTTGTCCTTTAGCAACAAAAACTCAATTTGAGCCTGAAAGGGTTAATAGAATAAGGCAACTAGGAAGAAAAATAAAATTTAGAAAAATATTTTTAAAAAATAAGCCCAGCTAAGGTTAACCAGCTAAGCAAGAAATTTGGCTTCATGAAAAAGGCCCCAGGTCAATCAGAATTGTACTGACAGGACTGTTGTTTGGTACCCAGAAAGACGGGATGATGAGATCCCAGAGGGAGCAGGAAGAGAAGACTCTGAAAGCGATCACCCTCTTCTGCTTCCCGGATGGGATCGAGTGGGCTCCGCTCACAGAGTACCGCAGGTGACTGCGTTGCCCCGAGCACACAAACACGCAGACAAACTGTACATAGAGGAACATCAGCAGGTAAGGCCAGGATGTGGCGGTGCTTTGTAGAGCAAATGATACGAAGGCAAGGAGCCACACTGTGGCAAAGGTTTGGTGTGAGCCAGATGGATTTGTAGTTAGATTGCATAGCCTGGGTGGGGGGCACCTGTTTTAAATCCTGTTTTATCACAAAAGCAATGTTTCCCTCCACCTCAGCAACAGGAGAAAATGCGGTTGAGTATACGTTTTAGGATCTTAAGCTCCTTTTAAATTGTTGTTTTAGTTCCCTTTAAGTCACAGACTTTACATATGTTTGGAAAAAAACTTTGCTCAGGTCAGTGACATGTCAAGGGTAACCCTTCTTCAGCGCCTTGCTGGGCCTTCGTTTCCGCTTTGTAATGGTTTCTCTTGGTTCTCTGGCCTCTTTCATTCCCCTTTGCTCATTTTTTCTTTTCATCCACTGCTTTTTGCATGCCCTCTATAACAGGGAGGATTTAGGTAAGTGGACTGGCTTTGCTGTGTGACCTTTGGTCTGTGTAACAGTGCAGTGTATTATCCTATGGTAGGCAGTACAGGATACTCTCTTGGTAAACCTTCCCTCCTGTTTACTCTCTCTGCAGTGAGACCTTCTCCTTCATCTTGACCGAAATGGATGGTAGCAGAAGAAACGGCTACTGCAGGAGGCTCCTGGTACCCTCTACCTCTTTGCCACAATCGTATCCCTGGCCTGGTGTCCGGCCGCTGTGATGTCCAGTTTAGCCTTAATTCGGGTAACAATGGAGCCGTATCTTTGTCTCTCAGCCGCTTGGCAGTGGAACACGGTTACCGGAGGCCTTCTGCATCGTCAGCCGTCTGGCTTGCTTTGGACTTTTCTCCAAGGTAACCAGGATGTCCACTCCAGTATGTGTTTGCTTTCTGGTCTTTTAGCCTGTGGGGACGAGGAACTTTAGATGTACTATTTGAATTATTGTTATGCAGTGCCTCAGTAATGTCCCGGGTGCTGGCAGTGATTCCTGCTATGTTCTGTGTGTGAGTTCTCTTACTATGTTCCCGTGGATATCCTCAGCGTACTCTGGTTTGCCCGTACTGTTCATAACATGTTTTAGGTGAATTTTTATGCTTTAAAATGTGATGTTTGTGTCCTGTGTTTCCTGGAATAGACTCTAGGCTTGCACTGTGATGGCAGTTGTGGAAATTATGGTTGGCTTTCAGTCGATTTATGGTTGGAGTTATTAATTATCTCACAATTATTTACAAATGCAGTTCAAGCTGGATTGGAGATCCCCTAAAAGTGTGTTCTCTGCATTGGTGAACTGAGCCCCGTGGTGCTCTTACATTCATTTTCCGGCTTAGTGCACCCTTATATCACTTACTTACACACAGGATGCTATAAAGTATGGACTAATCCATCAGTTTATCCATTTACCAGCTGCCTGGATGTGGATGGCCATGGATTATGTGACTAAATATGACTAAGTATTTAATCATTATGTTGGTAATTCCCTCAGCAATTGTGACCTTCAGATTTATTTATACATTGTTGCGTTATGCAAACTCAGTGGTCGACCACATGCTTTGCCTGGAAGAGTTCTTCGGTTTTTTTACAGCTGTGTTGACCTGACTTTGGAGTAACCCCCACCAAATAAATACCTGTAAATTAACCATTCATGCAGTTTGCTGTTTTATGAGAAGCCATTTGCTCTGAGTAGTTAGTACCTCTATCTGAAGAGCTTCTTTATCTTTATCTTTTATGGTATCTAATAAAAGGCAGCCCAGCCACTGCCTGTTTTAAAGTGAAACTGAAATACATTTCTGCTCCTAGTCCCACCTGATCATCAGTCTAACACACTGGAAATTTTTAGTGTTTACATAACAAAGCAGTGGATCACTGGCCACTGTAAGGCGTTCCTTGGGATTAATGGCTCTGCTTCCTGGAGCAGGGCTAGGGTTAGGGTTAGGCTCCTTGTCACCCTCAGTTTCTGTCCTGACATGGCACAGATCTTTGATGAGGTGGAGAAGCGGCGGCAGATCTCCATGGCGATGATCTACCCCTTCATGCAGAGCCTGAGGGAGGCCCCGGTTCCTGCCCCAGGACACACCGTTAATATCAAGAGCTTCATTCCAGAATCCGGTACAGAGGTGAGTGGAACAAACAGCCATGCAGTAAAGAAACACGCATAGAAACCGACAGAATAATAGGAAAACTGGTAATAAAAACTCTAGTTTTCATTGTAAACGTGGATTCTGTTAGTGTGGCGTGGATACTAGTGCAGACGTGTTGGGTGACATTTTGATACACACTGCAGATGATCAAGCTGACACGCCCCCTGGACTCCTGGCTGGAGCATGTGGACTTCCACACGCTGTTCCACTGCCTGTCAGATAAGGAGGTGCTCCAGGTGTTTGTCGCCACTGTCCTGGAGCGCCGCATTATCTTTGTCGCCGAAGAGCTCAGGTAACTGGCCAGTCTTCTGCACAGCTAAGACAGTCGGAGGTCTGCACAACTACAGTAGCCAGAGGTTTCCACAGCTAAAGCTGCCAGTGGTCTGTATAGCTAAGGCAACCAGATGTCTGTTATCTGCAGAGCTAAAGCAGCTAGCCAACTGCACAGCTAAAGCAACCAGTGGTCTGCACAGCAAAAGCAGTCAGAGGTTTCCACAGCTAAAGCAGCCAGAGGTCTGCACAGCTAAAGCAGCCAGAGGTCTGCACAGCTAAAGCAGCCAGAGGTTTCCACAGCTAAAGCAGCCAGTGGTCTGCACAGCTAAGCCAGTTGGAGGTCTGCACAGCTAAGGCAGCCAGATGTTTATTATCTGCAGAGCTAAACCAGCTAGCTGACTGCACAGCTAAAGCAGCCAGAGGTCTGCGCAGCCAAAGCAGCCAGCCATCTGCACAGCTAAAGCAGTCAGAGACCTGCACAGCTAAAGCAGCCAGAGGTCTGCACAGCTAAAGCAGTCAGAGGTGTGCACAGTTAAAGCACCCAGAGACCTGCGCAGCTAAAGCGGCCAGAGGTCTGCACAGCTAAAGCAGCTACTGTTGATGGTATTTTGGGCATGCAGTTACCTGCCCAGGTGCAGAATAATGTAGCCTAATAACAGTTTAAATAGTTGTAAGGAAAAATATAAATCATAAATGGTCATTATAATGTATAAATGACTCCATGACCCTGTACTGAATGAGCGGTTGAGGGATGGATGGATGGATGGATGGATAGATGGATGTAATTGATTGATCGATTGATGTGTAACCAGAGTTCTAAAAATAAAACTGGCATTAAAAGTATTGTAAAGTATACCAAGCACTAACAATGGCATATTGTAAGACTTCAGCTTGCATGAAAGCATTCTAGCATACATGGTTTTGCTCATCTAGGAAGCTGGGAATATGAAAGTGGGTGAAATCTCTGTGTTTTGATTGATTGCTGTGGAGCAGCAGAGCCTTTGTGTTCTGACCTCATTCTGTTGGGCTAGAATTTGATGCCTCAGGCTTAAACAAGCTTTCAGTAACAGAGTACTGGAGAAACTTCCTACTTACTGCCGGAGCAAAAGAGTGATTAAGTAGCTGCTTTGGAGATCAAAAGCTCTAAAACCTGGATGAAGAAGGACCGTGTCGTTCTGCCTTATGAGTAGGAGAGTGAATAGCATCCATGATAAATGCAGGGAATTCTGTAGACTCTGCTTGTGGATAATGCCCGTGGCTGAGGTAAATGCTAAACGTAATGTGATATCTCCATTGGAGAAGGCTTCTGAGAAGAAGGAGAGCAGGCAGATACATGCTCCGATAATGAAAGAACCATGGGCTAATGAGAACGAAACCAAGCATGCAACAGTAATCTCATATATCTTCAGGGTAACTGGACAAGAGTCACATTTACCAGGTCTGCACCCCCAAAAGAATTTGTATGTATTCATTCAAAAGAAGTGTTGGCGCTCAAAATGTCTCTCGGTTAAGAGCAATTGCGACATAGTTACGATTTATGGTTGTGACTGGCAATAACTATTATGTGTATGCTAAAAGTGCGATGAGTATCATGACAACATTTTTTTTTGCACACTTTGATTTACTTATCTGACAAACTCTGCTTTAAAGCAGAACTACTTTATGAAAATGAGTCCAAATCTGCATAAGAGACTCCCGCAGATCCGGAATGAGTCTGCACCCAGACCAACCTAAAACATGAGTCATCGCACCCTCATTTGGAGAGACAATGCAACTGGAGACATGAGATACCCCAGGGTGGGTCTGACTTGGGCCCAGGGGCAAGAAGATCTCCACCCCCCACCATTATATAGGTAAAAAAAAATTATGAATTCCATTAGTGACACACCTATGGTTGATAGTGATCTTCCTTTATCTAGTCTTTTAGATAACTTAAAAATCTCAAAAAGACCAAATATAAACAAAAACTCAACGAGGCAGGTATACGTGATCCGAACTTGTTACCAGGCCCAGAGCGGCCAATGGGAAGACTGGAGAATTAAATAATTTTACAATTTAATCTTAAAGTTTAACACTTTATCTTTAAAATTGTACAACGACGCTTCAGAATGATAACCAGTGAATTTTCTCATGCACCATGCACAATAGACCACAATTGTTTGTCATTTATAACTGAGTGAGCACAGCACGTGGTTGCGGAAGTAGCTGTTGCTAATCACTGGAAGTTTCTCAAACGATGGATGTTAGAAAGGGACCAGGCGGGGCTGAAAAAGTCAGACTGCTTGAACAGTTCAATATGCTGCTTATTATTGTTATTTATTTTCTTATTGAAATGTCAGTAATACATTTATTGGGATAATAAGACTTGAACTGTGGCATCATTTATCAAAATTCCCCCAGAACGCAGACAAAATGGGCTGGTCTTTGGCATAAAACACCCGGGCTGAAAATTCTGTTCCTGCGTCAGCTCATTGCGGAGTCATCTTTTTGTACCTCTGCGGTGTTGCAGCACAGATGACATCCCTGACCTGAAGTATTATAACATCAACTATCTCGTTTACACCACATCTCATTGCAGGCGTAAGCAATTTAACGCTTATAAAAGGGTAATACTTTACTTGACGGGGCACAAGTAATGTGGTACTATGCTATTATTTATGTAACCACAAATAAAGTCTTAGTTGCATACTATTCTCATATTAATTCATCATTAATGAATAGCCAAGGTGACCTTGACACACATCATTGCCCACAGAGTCACTCACAGTGTAGCCCACCCCCCACTCTAGCAGACCCAAAGACCCCTCCTTAAAGAAGCAGTGAAATGTGGTCATGTTCAAACAGCTCTGCACACGGGTGCACACATCACTTACATCAAGGTGCACACGGGGTTGCACACATCACTTACATCAAGGTGCACACGGGGTGCACACATCACTTACATTACATTGTTATCCACAGTCAAGGCTGCTTTACTTCACACTTTACAAGTGAACCATCTTTCCTGGAGTTGCTGTGTTAACATTAAATAGGATCAGAACTTGCAAATTTATGTTCACAAATGCATGTCCCTGTCCTAACTTTTTAGCTTTTCAGTGTTCCAAGCAGCAAGCATACTAAGCTTCCGGCACCAAGCGTGGCTGAGACCAGGCCATGGAGCTCTGCTCCTGAGCCAGCTTAGTACTCCTTCCCTGTGTTGCTCCACAGCTTTGTGAAGTTCATGTGTGATACATTACTCACCACTATTATAATGGAAAGGTTTGTCTTGTGAGTGCTTAGCCCTGCCTTCCAAAATGTGTCTATAAACTATTAGCATCTGAATTCAGTGTGAGTATATGATATGTGCTAGCTTTGATATTCACTTTAAGTAATGAAGCCTCAACATCCAAAGTCGATGTATACATGTGCCAGGTTTCTCTTTGGTGACGAATGACCCCCACCTCCCCATCTCAGCACGTTGTCCCAGGTCATCAATGCGGTGACGGCGCTGCTGTATCCCTTCGTTTGGCAGCACACCCTCATCTCCATTGTCCCTCAGATCCTCCTTACTGTAACCATGGCACCCACCCCCTTCCTATTGGGGGTGCAGAAGCACATGCTAAATGAAATCATGGAGGATGCTGACACCACCAATGTGAGTAACTTCTACGATCGGGCCTCTGTGCTGCTGCGTCTCACCTATGCACTGCCCTTCCTGACACTGAGGGCAGCCCAATCTACTGACAGCTTTAAAAAAGAACATAAAACCTTCCTTTTTATCAGATTTTATCATTCCTATTCCATTTTTTGCTTTATAGCTGTTTTTTTAGATTGTTTTTAGGTTTTGTAGCACCTACAGATTTTCTGCAATAAATCAAGGAAGAACATTACAGTAAGAGGACAAAGGGGGGACGCAGGCCTTTGTGGGGCCCCTACCATTCATGGGTTAACTGAGACTTACTGCTTCTATTGTAGCTGCTGGTCGTGGATTTGTCTGAGGGAGCGGAAAAAAGGCTCTTTGTGAAGGTGAGTGTAACATCCCTCTGTGTATACCTGTGTGGTTACGTCTATGTGAAGGCGAGTGTAACATCCTTCTGTGTATACCTGTGTGGTT